GTATCCAGTTTCCTGAGAAATCGGCGATTTCGTAAGGTAATTCTACCTGATCCGTCAACTCTGATACGGTATTGGTGGTTGGGAGGACAATGACCTGACCTGTTGTGTCCCATCGACGGGTTGTTGGTCTTTGTAGTGCCAATTTGTCCTTTTTGAAGGGGTTTTAAAAGTGTGTGCTGTTCTGTTGTATCTCTCTATGAGACGTGCGTTCCCCGGGACAGACTTATCTCACGATTTTGGGCTGCGGTTATCCACTTCGCGTGTGGCTTATAGAGTGTGTGGGTGGGATGGTATGTAGTCACGTAGTCGGCGGTGGAGTAGTAGTTGAGCAGGGGATAGCCCAATGTTTTGAATAGGCGTATTCCTGTATTGGAGATGCTCTTGCTGCACGGTTATTATCCAACGATCCTTGGGCTCCTGTGTTGCCATTTATGATTCTTTTGGCTGTTTTGACAGCGAGCTCTGCTCGACCATTGGATTGTGGGTAACCAGCAGATGATAACCTTTGTTTAACAGCCCAGTCTTGCAAAAATTGCTTGAATGGAAGAGATGTGAAGGGTGGCCCACCATCACTGCTGAGTTCCTGGAGCCCCGTAGGTTTGAAATATGTCTCGGCAAATCGAAATAATCCTTGAGGCATTAGCTTCTCCGTGGCTCAAGTGGTATAGATTCAGCCAGCCCGTTAACCTGTCAGCGCATGCTAAGTAACCATGGTTTCCAACATGGAAGATGTCCATGACGATTTGCTGAAATGGCCAATCAGGAGATGGTGTCAAATTGATTGGCTCTTTTGGTTGACTCAGGGCAATTTTTGAGCAGAACGTACAACCTGCTCTAATGTTATGAATTGCATTCATCCCGGGCCAATAGACAGATTCATTGGCACGTGCCTTCATGCCAACTTCGCCTTGATGTGCAGAATGTAGGCTGTAATGTTTTTTGCGCGTTGTGAGGTGGGGATAACAATTCTTTGATCTAAGAGCACTAACCGTTGTCAACACTTAGGCGGTGCCTCACTTCCCAATATTCGCGGATTTCAGGTGCAGTGAGGATGCGCGTTCTTTGGAATCCGTTTTGTATTACTAATTAATTTTTTGTATTGCGGGTCGCTGCGTCCCGCCGTACGGATAACGTCTGGTGAGATGAGCTCCAGGTTGTCATTTGCACCGAATGTTGCTAATAAGGTTTTGATTTGACCCAGTCATCCATGTTGTCAGACTCTATGATGTCTGATTGAGAGGGTTCAGCAGTGAATACATTTAGGAGTGCCTGTGAGATGTCTGCTGGGTTACGAGAGACAGCATCGGAGGCTCTGTGCCATTTCCCAGGGCAGTGCTGAATGGTGAATCTGTACCTGAGGGTTTTCTCCTTTAACCTAAATAATCAGGGGTTTTGGATTTTACTAAGGTCTCTATCTCCGAATAATCCTTTTAGTGGTTCATGATCTGTAACCACTATGAGATTCAGGCAACCCATTACAAAAATCCGACATTTTTCCAATGCCCATGCAATTGCTGCTGCTTCTTCTTCAATAGGTGCATATCTGCGTTCAGCATCAATGCAGAATCTGCTACCAGCAAATATCGGGCGCCAACCTTCAGGGCAGCAAACTGGGGCTTTGATCATGAGCAATACTTCTGCAGAAGTAGGAAGCCCATTCCGTCTTTGCTCCAATCTGGGGCAAGGCAGGTTATTCTTTTCTTTTTGAAATGTTGCGATGCCTTTTCGGACTAAGTCAACTATGACCTTCTTTGACTGCTGGAATGGCTTTTATTCCATGTAAAGTGTGAGTCTCGTTTTACGAGATCACGAAATGGAAGCATGATGGGCTTAGTGAGTATGCCCAAGCGACTTGGTTGACCAGCCCAAACCATGATCTGGCATCGGTGAGTGTTTTTGGTATTGGGAAGCTCAATATTGCCTCCAGCATGGATTTAGAAGGGTTACCAGAAGATGTTATTTGGAGGCCCCCAAACTGCACCGTGTCTTGGCAAAATTGGAATTTTTCTATTTATTACGATGCCGTTTTTTTGCACAATGGAGGAGAAAATCGAAGGTGTGAAAAAAGGCTCCTTCGATGTCAGAGTCATAGAGTGAGGGTGTCATCCACGATTTTTTTACTTTGCGGGGGATGTCTTTTATTACTTCATCATACCCAGGTAGGCATCGCCAGATGCTAGGTAACCTTGTGGCATCCTCAGGTACATGAACCTTCCCCATTCTGTGATGAAGGTGGTGAGTGGCTGGGACTCTTTATCTAAGGGGATGGAATGATATCCATCAACAGCATCCAACACTGTTTTCTTTTTGTTTTAGGTGGCGTTTGTAGTGCTTGGAATGGTGACCCTGTATGGTGTGTTTCCCGTTTGCACTGTGAATTCAGGTGTTGGTAGTCTATGGTTCTTCGTGGTTTTGCCATTTTTTGGCGGTAATTACCATAGTGCTACACCAATCAGTGGGCATGCCAACGGGTACTGGGGTTATGATACCCTTTTCACATCTTCCCCAAAGGGCCTGTTTACGGGAAAAAAAAGGAATTGGGTTATGTCTGGCTTTGGGGAAATGTGCAGTGGGGCCAGACATCGGTGGAATTCACCATTGTTCTTGAACGCCGTTTCGGCAAATTGATTCAATAGCCAATTCTTGAGCCTATCAATGTTTTGTTCTGTTGGAAGAAAAGGGAGTTTTTTGGGGCGTGTTGGAAGTTGTCCCTCGACTTTTGCATTGTTTAGGGCTTACGTCCGATTTTTTTATGTGCTTGTCGAGGGCATGTGAATATTAGCTTGGGAGTTTGGCATATTTGTCATCTTGGTAAAGACATCCCAGTCAATTCGGAACTTCCTGAATTGCTGTGGTGTCATCTCGAGATTGAGATGAGGAGGCTTGGCTGCTAGTGCCTGAATGCGGGTTGTCTGGGTGGCGGATTCCTTAGCCTGCTTTAATGATACACAGGGCTTCTCCCATTAATGTGACTCCCAGCTCCATAAGCATAGATCGATCCAGCATTTGAAGGCTCTCGATTGTCAGCTTCTCGTCCGCAAACCTTGTTGCATGAGTTTTGGCCGAGTCGGTGGATATGCCTGCTTCAATGAAGAAGAGTTCCCAATTTTCAGGTGTCATACATCCTGTTCACAGCGCCATGTCGAACAATACGTGGTCAATATAAACACTCAGTTTGGAGCAAGCTGGTGAAGACTGATTCAACATTGAGGAAGAGAGTTATTTATGGTGCAATGGAGCATCTCATTATGCTAAAGTGGGATAGTCCATTGCTTGGGCTTTGATTGGCTGCTGGTACCTGGTGGAAGTATTTCTATATAAATACCAGCTTAATTTCAGTTAGTTTGCGGGGTTTGTATTAAGTTACAACCTGCTTTATTTTTTTGTCTGCCAGCTGGACGCTAGCTGGAACTCTTACGCCGGTAAGTGTCGTTTATTGTATTATTATTCTACAAATCGTAGAAACTGTCACTGACACCAAATCGGTTGGGTTTCAATCCTGGCTTGAGGATGGGGATTAATAACATCTAATTGTGGTTACTACACGCAGAAGAATCTACACAAGATGGGAGAAGTGCCCATGAGTATGACACTTGGGCTTTCAGAAATTTGATACGAATATTGGTTTGCTCTTTGCTATCATTCCCAAAGACCAAGGGTACTTTGACGTGATGCAATGTTTAGCAAGATTGTTTTTCGAGATCAATTGCGACTGAGTAGCGGGTTCGATCCTCACTAGGTGCTCCATACATTCGGCCTTGTGCTACATCAAGGCTACGCTTGGAAAATCATTTTAGGGCACCTCTAGGCGTTTAGCAAACTTGTCTCGCTAGGACAATTACGACTGAGTAGTGATTTCGATCCTCACTAGGTGCCCCATATTTTCGGCCTTGTGTCAGATCTGATCTGCGCTTGGAAAATCAGGGCAACTCGGTGTGGTGTAATGGCTAGCAAGCTTATCTTGCTAGAACAATTACGACTGAGTACTGAGTTCGAACCTCAGAGGGTGCCCCGTGCTTTCAGCCTTGTACCACGTTTAATTTACGCTTAGAAAATCAACTTTTTGGAGCAAATCAATGTGGTGCAATGGTTAGCAAGCTTGTCTCGCTAGATCAGTTACGACTGAAAAATGAGTTCGAACCTCAGAGGGTGCCCTATGCTTTCGGCATTGTGCCACATCTCGGCTACGATTAGAAAATAACTATTCCCAAAGCCCCAGTAACAACAGATAATGTTGTCTTGTGATGCCACATTCTATTAGTTTTCCACCTCAGTCTTTGCCTAGTTTCTCGAACGTTTTCAACGATGTGCTTTTGTCTTGACTGGTGTTTGGGAGATCTATCAACGGGCATGTCTTTTTAACAATTATGTCCGGTCGATATGCCCGAAATTCCATCTCAGTTGGAACGCTGTAATTCCAGAATATGGTAACCTGATTATTCTGTACAACTAGTGGAAACTTATGTACAACGCCAATTCTGTTTGCGAGGGAGGTTGAATACGCAGCATTTTGTCCAATCTATGTATTGAGCAGTGCTATCATCTCGTTGCAAGTACTTTGTTGGCGTGAGTACATTACACAAAGATATTATGTGGTCGATTGTCTTCGGATGATCTCCACACATGCGGCAGAATGGGCTACAGTTAAGTTCCAGGATATTACATTATTATTATTATTATTATTGTTATTATTTTCTTTGATTTCAGGGCGTTTACTCATTTCTTTCCGGGTACCGCCCAGGGACCTAAGGTTAGAAATGGCGTCATGACACTTTCCACTGACAAAGAAAAAAAAAAAAAAAGAATTAAATTACATAGATAAAGCCCTTCATAAGGTGTGGGCTGTACTTGTCAGAACAATTTTTTATATCTCCTTGAGGCATGGACTTCCCTGAACTATTATTATTATTATTAATATTATTGCTGTTGTTGTTAAATATTAATAGCGCTGCACATGACAGTGTATATCTTCTGATTTGCTTATGCTTTCAGATTGGGCTTACAGCCATATAGCGTTGAAACACCAGTTTCCGTTCAATGACCGATGTTAAGCAACGTTGAGCCTAGTCAGTACCTAGATGGGTGACTGTTTGGGAGTAACAGGTGATCTAACGTTGTATAGGTGAGTGATGTAATGGATTTTGTTAATCGGAGAGCCAAGTTCCAATTTCACTTGGGTTTGTCATATTCACTTACGTCCAAATCCTCATAAGATATGTATGTTTCCACTTCTTCTTCTCACCAGGTCGAAGAGGAGGAAGCAGACTGAACGCGACCAGTCCCACGAAGACCCCAGCTTCGGAATAGGCAAAGATCTACACAATCTCAATGGTCAAACCCTTAGGACCACCCATATATCCAAGTTTCGGCAGGAGAGACCTAATTGAACGCGACCAGTCCCACGAAGACCCCAGCTGCGGAATAGGCAAAGATCTACACAATCTCAATGGTCAAACCCTTAGGACCACCCATATATCCAAGTTTCGGCAGGAGAGACCTAATTGAACGCGACCAGTCGTAACGAAGACCCCAGCTTCGGAATAGGCAAAGATCTACACAATCTCAATGGTCAAACCCTTAGGACCACCCATATATCCAAGTTTCGGCAGGAGAGACCTAATTGAACGCGACCAGTCCCACGAAGACCCCAGCTTCGGAATAGGCAAAGATCTACACAATCTCAATGGTCAAACCCTTAGGACCACCCATATATCCAAGTTTCGGCAGGAGAGACCTAATTGAACGCGACCAGTCCCACGAAGACCCCAGCTGTGGAATAGGCAAAGATCTACACGATCTCAGTGGTCAAACCTGTAGGACCACCCATATATGAAAGTTTCAGCAGGAGTTTATAATTTATTACATTCAAATCGTAATCACGATCCAATTCATCAGGCCTACAAATTCAAAAATAACTTTTTCCCCATTTCTTTTTGAATTTGTCGGTCCGATTCGAATATAATAAATTATAAGCATGGAATATTAGTATTTAGCCTTTTATATTATATTCTTGCTCTGTCCTGGATATTGAACTTTATCAGGATTCTATCCTCTTGAAATATATATATATATATATATATATATATATATATATATATATATATATATATATATATATATATATATATATATATATATATATATATATATATATATATATATATATAGAGAGAGAGAGAGAGAGAGAGAGAGATAAGATAGTGATTTGAGGGGGAGAGATTTTCTGTAGTTCACTGCTAGCAGCCAGCAGAATATTTTCTTCTCCTGATGATGGCCATTTTTTTGGCCGAAACTAGTCGAGGAATGTAAATGAAATAATAATTAAAACGAAAGAACATTAACCTACAACCCAGAGTGTCTGAAGATTTTAATTTTTAATATTTTTATTGTTCAATATATATATATATATATATATATATATATATATATATATATATATATATATATATATATATTTATTGACCACTAATATCTATCTATCTATCTATCTATCTATCTATCTATCTATCTACGATTTCGAGAGTCGGGAAACGTAAGTAGCGATTTTCCGTGTTTTTGTACTTACTGTATCTTGCTAATTTGGCGGTAGACCAATGTTTATTTTACCTCACTACTTTTTTTTTCTATTGACTTTTTTCTAAATTGTGTTTAAGCACAAAACAGACAGTCGCCGTTAGGTGCTGATCTCGATGTCCCCTATCATATTTACATATTATCCCTGATATTGAGCACTTGAACCCATAAATATAGCACACCTTAAAACTATATTTTTATCCTGGATTCAGCGCCTAGCATGCCATGTCACTACTGTAAAAGAATGTTCAGGACAAAGATAGGACTCATTAGTGATCTCCACACCCCCACCCCAACCCCCAGCGATTCAAGGTCAAGGTTATCTCCTCATGTTTCTCATTCTATTTTTCCATACCTTTGTATTTTTCAGCAGCTTTCTTCTTTTACATTTATTTTTCATCACCATTCGTATCCATGTTTCAGCTCATTTCAATTATTATTTTCATTTTATTTTTCAGCCCGTTTAATATTTTCCTTTTATTTTTCAGCCCCTTTCATATTTTTCATTTTATTTTTCAGGAACTTCCTTATTCTTCAGCTTCTTACTTAATTTATGTCTAGTCCATTCCTATTTTTCATTTTATTTTTCAGCCCGTTTAATATTTCCCTTTTATTTTTCAGCCCCTTTCATATTTTTCACTTTATTTTTCAGGAACTTCCTTATTCTTCAGCTTCTTACTTAATTTATGTCTAGTCCATTTCTATTTTTCATTTTATTTTTCAGCCACTTCATATTTTCATTTTATTTTTCAGACCCTTTCATATTTTTCATTTTATTTTTCAGGAGTTTCCTTATTCTTCAGCTTCTTACTTATTTTATGTCTAGTCCATTTCTATTTTTCATTTTATTTTTCAGCCCCTTCATATTTTCATTTTATTTTTCAGACCCTTTCATATTTTTCATTTTATTTTTCAGGAGTTTCCTTATTCTTCGGCTTCTTACTTATTTTATGTCTCGTCCATTCCTATTTTTAATTTAATTTTTCAGCTCCTTTCATATTTTCATTTTATTTTTCAGCCCTTTTCATATTTTTCATTTTATTTTTCAGGAACTTCCTTATTCTTCAGCTTCTTACTTAATTTATGTCTAGTCCATTTCTATTTTTCATTTTATTTTTCAGCCTCTTTCATATTTTCATCTTTTTTTTTCAGCCCCTTTCATATTTTTCATTTTGTTTTTCAGGAACTTCCTTATTCTTCAGCTTCTTACTTATTTTATGTTTAGTCCATTCCTATTTTCCATTTTATTTTTCAGCCCCTTTCATATTTTCATCTATTTTTCACCCCCTTTCATATTTTTAATTTTGTTTTTCAGGAACTTCCTTATTCTTCAGCTTCTTACTTATTTTATGTTCGGTTCATTCATATTTTTCATTTTATTTTTCAGCCCCTTTCATATATTGCCTTTCCTTTTTCTTTCAGCCCCTTTCATATTTTCATTTTATTTTTCAGCCATTTTCATACTTTTCATTTTATTTTAAACCACTTTTTCAGACATTCATCTCAGCGGCATGATTATTTTGTTTCAAGAATTTTTTAAAAAGTGGCAAGATTTATCCTCTAAGCAGAAAAAAAAACACACCGGTGCGACTATTCCAGACAGCCCTTGTCTTTACTCCGCCTATCTCGACGACGTTTCCAGGCTGACAACGAGCCGTGCTGAAGGTGAGGACTTCATGAAAGAAATCGGATTATATGAGATGGATACAGGGACTAAAATTAACTTCGATAAATCTGGTGGCATGCGGTTTGGCTCGTGGAGAGGCGTTTTCCTCGCCAGTCCTTTAAGATGGATGGACAGAAGACATAAATAAAAGTGCCTAAAAATCCTTCTACTTAGAAATTACTGCCTTATATATTGGGTGGTCGATTTTTTTTAAATAAAAAAATAAGAATAATACAAGAGAAAGAACACACATTTAAAAATTTGAGGGTAAAATATACAAAAGACAGAAAATTAGTTTTAATAAGATAAAAGCTACTTGGAGCAATGGCAGAATGTTCATATAATGATGAGTTCACATCACGTGCTCAAACTGGTTGCTGTTCTGTTCAATGCACTTTCCATATCTTGGAGAAATAGACCTATAAACGTCCGGTATCACTTCTGATATTTGAGCACATTCTACACACACACACACACACACAAACACACACACACACACATATATATATATATATATATATATATATAGTGAGAGAGAGAAAATGAGAGAGAGGGGGTGTCTCAAAATAATATAAACATTCTTTGAATCGTTATAACTTATTCGATGTATTTTGACTTGTAAATAAGATTAACAGAAGAGAAAGAATACACATTTAAAGAATTTGAGGGTAAAATATACAAAAAACAGAAAATTAACTTTCGTAAGATAAATGGAGCAATGGCAGAATGTTCATATAATGATGAGTTCATATCAAGTGCTCAAACTGGTTGCCGTTCTGTTCAATACACTTTTCATATCTTGAAGAAATAGACCTACAAACGTCCAGTATCATTTCCTCTGGTATTTGAGCACATTCTTCTTCAATTGCTACTCTCATTTCAGCAATTGTTTCAGGTTCCTGCTGTAAACTTTATCTTTTAGAAAAACCGCCACAAAAAGAAATCCAAGGGTGTCAGTATTTATCGTTACACCACGTAATTCACTGGAAAAAGTTCGCAAAAGGTGAAAATCTGATGGTGCCAAGTCTGTCGTGTATGGAGAATGAGGCAATACTTCCCATCCAAATTCTTGAATAACGGTTTTAGTCATACATAAAAAAAAAAAAATGTCTGATTTGTGTTAATTTCATTACTTTTTGGTTTTATTTCAAACCCCTAAAATGGAATGTCAAGTAAACAAAACTGCTCATTTTCGACAAAGCAGCTCGTGGGGTTTGTGACGAATATGGAGATGACGCAATGCATCGAGGTACCGTCGGAGTTGGTTTTCGCGCTTCAAAAAAAAAAAGGGAAATTTTGAGCTGGAGCATGTCGAACTCCCCGGTTGACCAGTTGAGTTTGATGAGGAGCGATTAAACCAGATCCTTCACAAAAATCCACATCAGACGACCAGAGAATTGGCTGCAGAGATGAATTATGATCATAAAACTGTGGTAAATCCCTTTCATTCAATGGGGAAGTTTCAGAAACTTGTTTCATGGGTGCCACACGCGTTAAATGATCACAACAGGAATCAGCACGCAACAATTGCGGCTACTTTGCTGGCTCGGCATGGCTCAACATACGGTCATAAACACCGTTGCCTTTATCGCATTGTCACTGGCGATCAGAAATGATGTCTTTACGTCAATATGAAGCAGCGTAAAAAATACGCAAGCGACACCTCGAGCAAAACAAAACCTTCAACCTCAAATGACCATGTATGGTGGGTCTGGGAAGGCATAATTCATTATGAAATGCTTGAGCGAAACCAAACAGTAAATACCGAGCTCTACGTTCAACAATTGCATCGTCACCGTGAATCAATTCAGCAAAAAGACCGAATCGGCAACAGAGTTCTTCAACACGACAACGTCCGTCCCCACAC